CTTTGGCACAACAAACTCCCCCTCATCGTGCTCTCATTCCTCCCTTAGCTGCTCCCTGAAGCTGCCTCCCTTAGTTGAAGGACATGCCACACAAGGTGGCACAGCTCCAATGCTGATGCTCTGCAAGCCGCTTAGTCAAGAAATCCGCAGGTTGCTTGGTAGTGTTGATGTAGTGCAAGGAGATGGTGCCCTTCTTCACCTCCTTCCTCACCCAATGCCACTTGATATGCATGTGCTTGTTCAGCCCATGGAGCACAGCATTACGCGCCATTGCAATTGCTCCTTGGCTATCACAAAACACAGGTGTAGGACCCTCTTGCTCCTGCCCCAACTCCTCAAGCAACCTCCTCATCCAAACCACCTCCTTCACTCCATGAAACAACGCCATGTACTCGCTCTCCGTTGATGAGTGAGCTATCTCTCCTTGCTTCTTAGACTTCCAACTCACTGGACTCCCTCCAACACAGCATATATAGCCACCATGGGATGAAGCATCACTGATGTCACTTGCCCAGGTAGCATCGGTGAAGCACGAGAGGTACAAGTGCTCACGCCTTGCAGGTGCACCAATCTTTGTGCTCACCTCCTCCACTCCCTTTTGCTTCAGCTGCCCATGCACTGAATATTGCAGCCCCACCCTTGAGGTTGCCATGCAGTACCTCACCAGCCTCTCTGCTGCATCCAGGTGCTCTTGAAGGGGCCTAGACACCACACGAGCGAGCTGTGAAACTGAAAACGCAATGTCGGGGCGAGTGTTGACCGAAGCGTACATCAAGCTCCCCACCATTGACTGGAACCGACGCTGCAACTCGTACTCCAACACCTCACCCTCCTCTTCATCAAGGTGCAGCTGAAACCCTGAGGGTAAAGGAGTCTTCACACTCCTCCCTTCCTCCAGCCCATACTTCTCCCCCATGGCTGCAAGGTACTTGTGTTGGTGAAGCCTCAACCATCCCTTCACCTCGTCCCGCTCCACGTGAAGACCAAGGTAATACCCCACTGGTCCAAGGGCCTTGCATTGAAAGGTCTCTTTCAGCTTCCCTTGCACCTCCTTGATCCTCTCTAGGAATGGAGAGAAGAGGAGGATGTCATCGACATAGACAAGGAGAAATACCTTCTCCTCCTCCCCCTCGGTCATGAAGAGACTCTCGTCGCACCCGCTAACTTTGAAGCCAAGAGCCTCCAACACCTCCACCAGCCTTGCATACCAGCACCTTGGAGCTTGTTTGAGGCCATAGATTGCCTTGTTGAGCCTGCAAACACGTCCGCTCCCATCATCATACCCCTCTGGCTGCTTCATGTAGATCTCCTCATCTACCACGCCATAGAGGAATGCCGTCTTCACATCCATTTGCTCCACCTTCCAGCCACAAACGGCAGCGGCTGCTAGCAACAACCGGAGCGTAGGAGCCTTGGCAATAGGAGCAAACACCTCTTGAAAGTCAATTCCCTCCCTCTGCTGAAAGCCTTTGATCACAAGCCTTGTCTTGCGCCTCTCCAACCTCCCCTCCGCATCGGTCTTCACACGTAACACCCACGTGCAGTCCAATGCCTTCCTTCCTGGGGGAAGATTGGTAAGGGTCCATGTTTCATTCTCCATGTGGCTCTGGAACTCATCCTCCCTAGAAGCCAGCCATGCCTCTCGATCATCTCCAGCGAGAGCTTCCTCCATTGACGCCGGCTCATGAGGTAAGTTGACGCCAAAGCAACAAATCTGCTCCATCTCCCCCTCAGCTCCCTTCTCCTCCTCATATTCCTCCTCTTGGACCAGCAATGCCTTGGGAACCCCAAGCCTTTCATACTTGAGGAAATCCCTTGGATGGGCAGCTCTCTTGGGCCTCTCCTTGGCTGCTCCTTCCTTGGCTCCACCACGGACAGCATCACGCTTCCCTTGGGTTGTGCGCCTTGATGGAAGCTTAGGGGATGGTGTAGGCTGCTGCACCTCCTCATCGGTGTCACCTCTCTCAGCTGTAGGGGCTTCCCCTTGCTGTAGTACTTCTTCCACATCTACTGCCTCCCCTTCAGCACCTCCCAAGTCATGTGACACCTCTGTCAACTCTGAAGATGAGGACAACTCGATGGGAATGAGAAGTGGGTCGTTGGTTCCCACCTCTATTTCAAGCGGAATGGTGACCTTGCTCCTCCCCCGCTCCGACCACTCCTTGAACATGAGCCCCTCCATGAACTTGGCATCTCTGGTGGTGAAGATGGTGTTGGATTTTGGGTCCCACATGAGCCAGCCCTTGCTCCCCCGTGCAAGACCCAAATGAACAGCCCACACCGCCGCCGCTTGAAGCTTGTCACGCTTCTCCTTAGGGACATGCACGAGCCCCATGCACCCGAAGACACGAAGCATATCAACCAGGGGCTTCTTGCCACTCCACTTCTCCATAGGGACCCAATGCTGACCTCCCACATGAGTCAACACCCGGTTCTTGATGACGGTAGCATGACGAATAGCGAGGGGCCAGAACCGCAAGGGTAGACCCGAGTCCACCAATATCGTTCTCCCGCCCTCTATAATGGTCCGGTTTGCTCTCTCTGCCACGCCGTTGGACTGAGGGGTGTAGGCCGTGGTGAGCTGCTGCTTGATGCCATGCCGCTTCAACCAGCTCCGGAACTCCGCTCCCAAAAACTCCCCACCACGGTCGCTACGAATTGCCTTCACCCGCTTGCCGCTCTCTCGCTCCACCATGGGCAGCCACTCTTCAATGATGACCCTTGCAGCATCACTCTTCTTTGCAAGTGGAAAAGACCAGGTGAGCCTTGTATAATCATCCACCATAGTCATGGAATACAGGGCCCCACCATCTCCCTTCACCTTCATGGGCCCCACAAGATCCACGTGCACGAGCTCCACCGGGTCACTTGACTGCCCCACCGTCGAATGGAAGGGAAATCGTGAGAACTTGCTGGTCAAGCAAGTCTCACAAGAGCCCACCTCCTTGGGCTCCCCCTTTATCCTCAGCCCATTGACTCTTTCCTCCTTAAACAGCTGCTGTAACTGAGGTAGCGCCACGTGGCCAAAGCGACGGTGTGCGGTGAGCCAATCCGTCTCACCCGTATCAGGAGTTAAACTTGGTAGTGCACCCACCCCATGCACAAGCAGCCCACCATCACTGCCATCACCACCTCCTCCACTGGTTACGTGGCTTGCATGCCCTTCTCTTACAGCTTCAGCAGCCAAGCGCGCAGCCGCCTCCTTCCATGGCAGCACCGGTATCTCCCACATGGACCGGTGCATGTCCTTGCCGCCTCGGAGGTCCCACAACACGCGCCCATCCAGAGTTGCCTTGAACACCTTTGTGCCCATCATCTCCATCTTCATCCCTGCCTCACTCAATGCCTTGGTAGAGAGAAGGTTGGCACATAGTCCAGGGACAAGGAGAACACGCTTCAGCCCCACAAGCCTCCCATCCGCACCCATAAACATGGCTCTCCCCTCGCCACGCACGGGTACAACTTGGCCGGTGGCTGAAACAACGGTGGCTGCCTTTGATGGCCTGACTTCATCCAGAAGATCCTCTCGGTTGGTCATGGTCATGAAGGCTCCCGTGTCGATGACCCAATGGGAGGAACGGTGAAGAGAAACCTTGCTGGCCGGTACAACCATATCCTCGGAGCATGCCTCTCCTACATGGTAGAACATGCCGCCATGTCCGCCGGCACCTCCATCGCCCTCCTCACTGCCCATGCCTTCTCCCATAGCTCCATGAACACCCTTAGAGCCTTCAATTGATGGCTGACCAGGCCTCCAACCATCAGGTAGCTTGCGACACTTAAACCATGGGTGACCTTCCACATGGCAATACCAACACTTGCCGCCACACCGCTTGCCTCCCTTGTTGCTACGTTTCCCTCCCGAATACTGCTCCCCTCCAGAGCCTTCCTTGGCCTTGCCTTTCTTGCTGCTACGTCCCTTGAGGCCTTTCATGCCATAGGCAGAGCCTCCACCTTCACCGGCAGCGGCAGTCAGCTCCTTCCTCCGAAACTCCTCTTGAAGGACTTGAGCACGAATCCACTCAAGGGACCATGAGTCCTTCATGCCATTGAGGTTGACCACCAAGGGGCCCCACGACTCCGGCAGCAGGGAGAGAGCCTTGTAGCACTTGATCTTTTCAGGGTAGTCCACACCAGCAGCAGAGAGCTTCACATAGAGGTCCCGGAGTTGATCGAACGCTCCTTGCACGGCATCACCCTCGTTGATCTTCACCGCATGGAGTTGTCGTTCGAGCACCACCACCATCGCTTCGCTGCTGGGGGCATGGACATCCTTCAATATTTTCCATGCCTTGGGACCACACTGGATATCCTTGATGAGATGCTTGATGTGGTGCAGCTGGTTGGATGAGAGGCATTGAGAGAGAAGGAAGAATCCATCCTTGGATCGGCGATCCCATTCCTTGGTCGCTCCTTCGCTCGCAGGCCTCTTCAATTCTCCATCCACCACTTCAAGCAGCCCATAATGGTTAAATAGGAGCTCCATCCTGAAGCTCCATGATGCCCAATCCTCCCCATAGAACTTCTCTAGGTTGAATGCCTTCACATCATCCTTGGCAGGAGTTGAAACGGATGCTATTGGTGAAGATCCGCCTGCAACGCCTCTTCCTGCTTCCCCAGCGCCTCTCACGCCACCACTGCCACTAGGACCAGCTGGAGCAGAACCTTCAGCCTCCATGTTGACCCAGGAACAGAGAAGAACCGCTCTGATACCACTTGTTATAGTCTAGAGTCCACTTAGGGGTCGTAGATGCCCTTGAAACCACCTAAGCAGAATCTGACGACTTCAAACCGCCTCTGTTCAAAACGTCGTCACGATCAGCTCCGATAACAAACGAGGCTGAAACTTGGATAGACGTTAGCATCAGGTGTCTGCTTTCCAACGGTATATAACTTGCTTTCATCAGAGGTGTATGCGCTACGTAGTGAACAAAAACGTAAGCTCGGCTGAAAAACGAGTAGTTTCATTGATGCAAGGAAGAGGTTCGGTTCAACATTGCCTAGGGGACTCTTAAGGGGTTGGGACCATCCTGGGAACTCAGAGAAGGTTGAGTCCTAGGGGAGAAAGGCTAGAGAAGGATGGGAAACGTCCTAGCTAGGTCAGCAAAGCCAACCACACTTGGATGTTCAGAGCTGTACTCAAGGCTACCAATAGTGAGTCAAGCCAACCATGAGTCAGCTTGTCTTCCCACTTGCACCCTCTTGCAAGCTGCTTCCAGGAAGACCACACTTCTCAAAAGGAGGGTGGTAGAGTCCCACTTGACCACCTGTACTTCTTGTCTCATTCCCTGTCCCTGCACCATTGGCACAACAACAATGAAAGGGTGGCAAGGGAAATGCTGCCAACAGTGCACCATGACTACGGAACAGTAACTTTCGACAGCTGTCACGTGCTGCTCCGATGCTGGGTTGTCCTGAAACTCGGTGAACACCTGAAAAACAAGGCAAAGGACTGCCACACTAATTTTCAGACCAATCAAAGCTCGGTAGATGAGTCAGCAGCCGAAATGGTGAACTCGGGTGTTACCAAAAAAGAGTAACACACACTTCCGGGATGCCATAAATCTTGAAACTAAAAATGTTGCCATGCCTTGTAAACTGCTTCAATGATTCTGAAACTTTGAGGGTATGAAGAACACATGTTCAAGCACCACCCCACAAAATTCCAGAAGCTGAGCAGGCTTGTAGGCTGAATGGGAGTGCGATGACCGTGCCACTGTAGTACTTTGGCACAACAAAGAGCAGCAGCCTCACCAGCACCTAGAGCAGCAGTCTCAATGCCCGGGTCGGGCGGGAAACACCGGTAGCAGTCACCCTCATCACTAATAGACACAGAATACATAGCAGCAAGAATAGCATCAAAGTCAAGGTCAAAGATAGCTACCCCTGCCCTAGACAGCTCGCCCCAGCGAGGGATCTCAGTGGCCTCAGGGAACTGGTGACGCCAAGCGTCCATCAGGCAGCCAAAGCAGCGCTGGGTGGGGTGCGCACCCCCACACTGCTCACCCGCACGGTCGCCGGTGCGCAGAACGTAGGTGCACGGACCAGTACCCCCACCCCGCTGGCGTGCAGCGTACCACTCACGGAGCTGCTGAGGGGACAGGGTCTCCCGACTGCGCTGCTGCTGCTGGCGTTGACCACCACCGGAGCCATTCCTCTGCGAAGAGCCACGACCTCCTCCTCCTCCGCCTCCGCCACCGCCTCCTCCACCTCCGCCACCTCCACCACCTCCGCTCCTGCCGCTACCGCCGCCGCCGCCTCCGCCTCCACTGCCGCCGCCGACACCTCCACCCCCGCCACCACTCCCACCACCACCCCCACCCCCTCCACTGCCTCCACCGCCGCCTCCACCGCCCCCGCTAGCTCCTCCAGCGCCCCTGCCCTCCTTGCCCTTGCCAGGGCGACGCTTCTTGCTAGGGGTAGACGCCGCACCGACCGACTCCAAACCAACAAGGTCGGCCGCAGCAGCAGAGGCAACAGAGGGCAAAAGAGGGGAGGGGGAACACCCCTCAAAGATGGGGGTGCGAGGGTCACCACGAGAGGCTCCTACAGCGACTATGCTCTTCTCTGCTGCTAGGAGGGCCTTCTCGAGGAGGTCAACGGTGAGAGTGGTGGGGCAAATTGAGAGGAAGTGGTCCCTGACTACGCGAAGGGAGTCAGGGAGCCGGGTGATTATGTAGTAGAGGGTGATGTACATGGGGGGGGGGGGGTTCTTGGCACAGAGCTCAGCAGGAAGCGCAGCACGGTAGCGAGTGTCACTAGTGCGGAGGTGCGTAATGAGGTCAGCGACTGTGGGAAAGGCAGTAAGGTCAGGGAAGAGGTACGGTAGCATGAGGCGGCTCAGTGCAGCAGTGGAAGGGGAGGAGTAGCGTGCAACTACAGCATCGTACAAGGTCTGAGCACTCTTATACTGGCTAAAGTGCGCACGCTCAGAGGTAGGCAGGTGGCGACGCACAGCAAGACGTGCAGCAGCATCGTGCGTGCCCACTGTGAGCGAACAGTGGCGTCACCATCAGCAGCGGGGGCAGGAGAGGCACCAGAAGTGAGGTCAAAGAGGGAGAGGCCGTCTGCCCTATCGCACTGTAAGAAAAGCTGCAGGTCGTCGACCCAGACGTCAAAGTCAATGGCCCTACCCTCAGCGTCAAAAGCTAGGACACTAGGGGTAGCCATGACAGCAGTAGACTAGAAGTACGAACAATAGGGTAAGGGCAGTGCAGGGGTAGAGGCGCTGCTCTTACCGGACAGGGCGGCTCGGCGGTGCAGGCGGCTCGGCTGCACGGCGGCTCGGCGGCTCGGCTGCTCGGCTGCTGGGCGGCTTGGCGGTTCCGCTGCTGGGCGGCTCGGCTGCTGGGCGATTCGGCGGCGCTGCTGGTGGGCGGCTCGGCGGCTGGGCGGATCGGCTGCTCGGTTGCTGGGTGGCTCTGCGGCCTGGCGGCTCGGTCGCTGGGCGGCTCGGCGGCTGCGGCTCCTGATCAGGGACAGCGGTGGGGCCAGTAGGAGGCGGCGTCGGAGCCGGGAAGGGCGGCGCCGGGGCCGTAGGAGCAGGCGCCGGGGCCGTAGGAGCAGGGGCCGGGGCCAGCCGAGGTGGCGTCGGGGCCGGGAAGGGCGGCGACGATGCCGCTAGGGCGACTCACGGTGGGCCGTCGGGCGGCTCGAAGGGCCGCAAGGGCGGCAAGCGGGGCCGACGGGCGGCGAGAAGGGCCGCAAGGGCGGCGCGCGGGGTCGGTGGGGGGCCGCTGTAAGAGGCGGCGACGGGCCGCAAGGGGGAGGCGGCGACGCCGCTGAAGGAGGCGGTGACGCCGCTGAAGGAGGCGGCGACGAGCCGCTGAGGGCGGGACGACGGGGTCGCGAAGGAGGCGGCGCGACTGGGCCGCAGAAAGGGGCGGCGCGACGGGCCACTAAGGGCGGCGCGACGGGCCGTAAGGGCGGCGCGACGGGCCGTGAGAGGGCCGCTAGGGGCGACGCAACGGGGCCCTGAGGGGCCTAGCGAGGGCGCGACGGTAGGGAGAGCACACGGAGCGCGACTCGGTCTGAGTGGAGCGCGCTCCGGGCATGAAAAAAAAAAAAAAAAACGTAGTGGTGGAACCTAGGAATCGTTCCCGTTAGGGAACCTGCTCGATACCATGAGAAGAAACAAGGAATGAATGAACTATGAATGAATTGGGTACAAGTACTAACCCTAATTGGGTTGTACCCCTTATGGGCTACCCCACTATAGCCTACACAATATGCATAAGCTATAATGTTCTGACACATGCTCCGCGTGTGGGGGTGCATGATGCATTATTGCCCGCCTACCTCAACCATCCGCAAGTTCACAAGCCGCGCGCGATGGGGCATTCACAAAGGCATCAGCTATGAGTATAAGGCATGGATCGTCTTGGACCTGCCCAACAACAAGGTGACGAGCGCGCTCGATGTCATCTTCTACAAGCGACTCAATCTTGCCTAGTACCGCGCGGACGAGTAGGCACGCACAAATCGCGACTACGCAAGTGACGAAAACAGATACGCTACCCCTGAGGATGAAGCTACCGCTGCCATCTTGAAGCAGGACAAGCAAAATTCCTGACACCGCCCGTCATAGCGACGATGATGACGACGACGAAGAAACACCTTTGGGAGGAGCGAGAGGCAGCAGCAGCAGAGGACCCGCACCGCAGTCTCCACATGAGCCAGAGAGCGACGACGACGATGTGCAAAAAGTCATCCCGCATCATCGCCACGACAGCATTCTCTCAGGACTGCAGCTGCTAGGACTTCACACTGCCATCTCCACGGCCCCACGCGTCATCGAACCAAAGAACCCGCAATAGGCGCTCACGGGACCGCACAGGAAGGAGTGGTGTGCCGCTATGAAAGCAAGGCACACGAGTGACGAGAAACCTAGGTACTCGTTGACCGCACAGCAAATAATGGAAAGAGAGTGCTTTTGGGGAAGTGGGTTTCTGTGTAAAGACCGCAGCACACGGAACCACCGAACACTTCAAGACGCGCTGTGTCGTACGCGGTTATGATCAAAGGCACGGCATCAACTTCAACCAGCTGTTTGCTCAAGTCAGCCATCATACCTCTGTCAGAATCCTGCGCGTTGCAGCAAGGCACTTACCTCTCCCCCACACCGACGTGAAGAATGCGTTCCTATACGCGTTGGTGGATGCTGTGATTTTTGTGGAGTAGCCGCAGACATACGGCAAAGGGGAGCCACGTGTCTGTCAGTTGAAGAAGTCTCTTTATAAGATCAAACAAGCACTATGGCTCTGGCAGCAGCCTGCACAAAATCCTACTTGAAATAGAATTCACGCAGCTCTCGCACGACCTAGGCATGTATCGCTTGCACTTTTGCAGCGACTACATCATGCTCACCATATATGTCGACGACCTGCTTTACACAGGGATGAGCAACACGCTACTCGACAAGTTCGAAATGAACACGGCAATGCACATCGAAATCACTACTAATCATGACATGAAGTACTTCCTAGGCATGAATATCATCTACGCGCCAGAAGCCATTCACCTCTTAGCTACCAAGTAAGGATGCGGCACCTCTAGGGAGGAAGCCACGATCCATCCTGAGTGGGGATCGAACCTGGCTTGTACAGTGAAATCGCGACATCGCCAACAGGCTGGTTTCTGGTTTCACCCCAACTCGCAAGTGTACAGTAAAATGGAGCCCAAAATTGTGGCACCTCTGGCTTGCATGATCGATGTGTCAGCGCCCACACATCGATCATGTAATTGTGGAGATTGGGCAACTTTGCCCCATATATTTTCGATCCTGTCACCCGTGGCTCGGTGTGTCCGGGCGATTGCAAATCTGCAGTGTGGACACATCGGTGTGCCGATCGATGTGCCTAAACCGATGTGAGGCCCCGATCCCCCCCCGATCCTAAAAATTTCTCTAGAGGTGTTGCGTCCTAAGCTTAAACACTTGCGCAGCGGCTCAAAATCACCCCTGCACCACTCTCGACTCCTTACCGCTCACCCCGACCGAACCACAAACCAGACAACAAAGCCCTATACCCCACAGATCTTCACATTTACAAGTAGCAGCTGGGATGCTTGCTCTTGTTGACGGGAAATGGCCCCGCCCTTGCTTGGACGAAGCAGAATTTGCAGTCGGGAGCTCGTATAGGACGCTGGTCGATGGGCTCGCAGCGGACGCCGGTCGACGAGTCTGTCGAGAAGTTCGGTTCGTCGGGACCTTCTCAGTATAGGGGCTCCTCGACGAGGTCGGTATAGGAGCTCCTCTATAAGGCCAGTATAGGAGCTCCTCGACGAGGCTGGTAGAGGGCTTGTCTAGGCGAAAGCTGCTCAACGGAGCATTCGTCGAGCTACTCTACGGAAGTCGCGTGACTGCGAAATTCGTCATATGGGAGAATGTCGCCCATGAGGTTTTCGCGAAGTCAACCAGCGGAACCGCATCATGTGCTCGACGGTGCACCGCTGGCGAAACCGTCGTCACGTGTTATACTTGGCACCTGCCCAATATGCTTAGCAGCGCGTCCGTCTACCTACACCTACTTGGTAGGTGCGCACATGCGTAGAAGTTCACCTGCCTCTGCGGCGCTGGCAGACCGTTGCTATACCACGCTGGCAGACTACTCTGCTGCAGCGTTGGCAAGCTGCTCTTCTGCTGCGCTAGCATAGTTTGCCTTGCAGCGGGCTTGCTAGGTGTTGCAATGCCATTCTAGCTATATCAACTTGCATGCCTCATTTGTAATCTAATGTTCTCTCAATTTCTTAGTGAAACTCTTGCCATATTTCCTTGTGAACATAGCAAGTAGTGAGAACTTCTGGTGCAGTGCTTCGATCACCCGCACAACCCCATGCCTTCCTCCGTAGTCTATTCTCGTTGTGTAGTGACTCTCCGCAAAACTTTGCCTCAGTTACCTGCAAGCTAGTAAGCTGGCCCAATACTCACGCAAACCAACGGCTGAAAATCTTATAGATCTTAAGCGCGCCTTGCAATTCTTTGTATCTACGCACAACATTTGGCTCTGCTACTCCGTAGTCACAACACCCTCTTTCAACCTCATCGGCTACGTGGACGCCAATCACGCTGCTGGCCCCAACAATCGATTGTACAGAGCCAGGTTCCTGTTCCACCTCGAACCAACAAGACCCATCTTATGGAACTCGCTGAACGGGAATTGGTTGCCCTGTCATCGGTGGGAGCAAAGTTCATTGTCGCGACAACAGCACTTCGCGAGGGGCTCTACCTACAGGAGTTCCTGCAGGAGGCGAGAATTCCAACTTCGCCTACCTTTCGCCTGCACTGCGACAACTAGAACGCAGTAAGAATCGTGAACAAACCTGGATTCGTGAACCGCGCCAAACACATTAAGCTGCAGTACTTCTTCGTCAAGGACGAAGTTTGACAAAGGCAAGGTCGATCCAACCTATTGCCCGATGGGAAACATGGCAACCGATTTTCTCACAAAGCAACTGCCTCGTCAGTAGTATCGGCACTGCTCCAAACTCAGCGGAGTAGACAAGCGGGTCAAGACTCGCTACGGCCATAAGTGAATGGGGGTGTTAGAAATAGAAAAATGTGAAAGTGCTGTGCACTCCTAATAGTAGCAAGTAAAGAACATAGTAAAGAGTGTGAAATGAGTAAGCAGGAATGAAATAACTAAGGAAAGATTGGGTACAAATACAACCCTAGAAACCCTGTACCCCATATGTGCTACCCCACTATAGCCTACAGCAACTATGTCATATAAATCTGACACACCCCCATAGGCAAAGTGGGGGAGAACAAGGGGTCACAAGACCAGTCAAGCAAAGCAAAACAAGCTCAGGGTGGATCACAAAGTCACCACACAGTCCGAGCACAAGAGTAGGGCCAGAGGCCAGTTCACATGCAGGAGTACAGACATATATATAAAACTAGACAAACAAGAGCAGGCATATATATATGTCACAGTACAAGTGAAGTCAAGAGGAGAGCAAGTGAGGCAAGACAGGCACAAGACCCAGCTGGGTGCAAAAGCGCTGATGGTCACAAGGCGCGAGTGCCTTGGTGAACACATCAGCAGTGTTGGCCTCAGAGGCCACGTACGCAAGTCGCAACTGACCACGCTGCTGCAGCTCACGAGCAAGGAAGTAGCGGAGAGCAATGTGCTTCGTTCTGTGCTCCAAGCGCTGCTCTCGACACAAGGCCA